ACCTCCTAGGGGACCAGAGCTCTGTCCTTTTTCACATAATCTTTAAATGAGAATTGTTCTCCCTGAGGCTAGGGTGACAAAGGGTAATTTTAAGCCTGTTTGCAGCAAATGTAGCTAATGTTGAAACTAACACTTTAAGAATGATTGGAGCTTTGACGATATAAATATAAGTTGAAAAGTAAACGTAGTCATTATTTTGGTAGAGAAAAAAAAATTGACTAGAAAATGAGTCATGTGCCCTGTTTCCGGGGTTCAGCCCAAGGTACCTTTCTCCCTCAAACTTCCAGTCTCGCCTGCGCCAGCCCAGCAGCTGTAGGTGACTAACAGCCCACAGCCGTCAAGTAATAAAACACTCCAATTTCATTTATTTAATCATCTGTGTGCTTCACTTGACAAATATTTATGGAGTGCGTGCTGCAGGCTCAGCATGGGGCTCCGGGGCCCTGGAACCAGAGCCTAGGAAGACCAAAACAGCAGCCGGCACAGCAAGCAGGGCAAAGATCACAGCCGATCTAGCTCCAGCCCCTGCTGCTCCACACACCTCGCTCTGCCTGGCCCTCTCTGAGAGGCACTTTGCTAATCCCTAAAAGGGATTTCGAAGGTAAATTCTGGATTCTCTAGGCACTTCCTACTTATATAAATGGGCGGTGGTCACTGGCAGATGCAGTTGATATTTCTAAGCACAAAAGTAAAGTGTCACTACGTTGAAAGTCAAAAAAAAAGTGGGCCAATTGGAGAAAAATAAGGAGTAATAGCAGTGCAAGTTTGGCATCTGGGACTTCAGATTCGTAGAATAACAGTAACTGCATGGTCACCTGCTCGGTGTGGTCAGGAAGAAGTCACTCAGCCCAGATGTGTGCAGGAGGTGAAGGTTTCAGGAGAGGAGAGGCTGCTCCCTGGCCAGAGGAGCGGACACTGCCAGGGAGCAGGGAGCAGGGCTGGCAACCGCCCCCTCCCTAGGCTTCTCCTTTGCCTTTTCTTTAAGAATTCCAAAGTCAGTTTCCTCCTACAACAGACCCCCTGAGGGCACATCTGAGAAGGTGACCCACCCAGGTCTTCTGGATGCACCCTTCTCCTTAGGCCCATTTACCTCTACACCCGGATGCAGCCAGGCAGGCAAAGGACCTGCACCTGGGAAGGGCCAGGAGCATCCAGCTGCAGGGTCCTCGAAGGTCGAAAGTGCAGGAGTAAAGGATTCTACAGTCGTCCTGCCTGGGATGGGGTCCTGCCTGCCAATGAGCATGCCCATCCCTGATAGCAGGATAGTGGCACTTGCTTCAGGAGGGCCGTGGCTCCAGTGAGATGGATAATGTGTGTAGTGGTACCAACTGCTGGACAAATAGTGATGGTCATTTCCTACTGGTGTCCGTCTGCTCCATGCGGTTCTAAACTGAGTTATTTTATTCTTTGTCCTCCTCAAGTTCTCTGGAGCAATCACAGGCGTTGTCGAGGACTCCAGGAGCACGCAGGTGCTGGCTACATTCTCCCAGCCACAGCAGGAAGCAGCACCCTGGGGTGCCTGCCTGGCCCTGCCCGCAGGAGGGTGGAGCCTGGAGTGGCGCCGAGCTGGCCTGGGGACCTCCGTGCCGCGGCCTCCTGTCTGCCTCCCTCCCCTTACCTGCAATTCCTGCCACAACTTGCACGGCTGTTTTTGAGAATCCCCTGCATGTTCTGAGTGTTATTTCTAAAGAACATAACTTGTTCACTGCAGAGATTTTGCCTAATTCCAAGGAAGTGCGATTTGGGAGAGGCATCCGAACGTGGTTCCTAGGCCCCAGGCTGGGGGAGGGGGGGAGAAGGGAAGCCCCCTCCCCCACAAACTCCCAACTTCTAGCTCTTTCTCAAGCAAAAGACTTCTGTTTACATAAACACTCCCCTTTCCGAGACACCTCCCCTTTGGCCCAGCAGCTCTGGGCTGTGTTTCCCACGGGCTTCTGGAGGCCCATTCACTCATTCCATGCCCGGGAGTGAGTCGCACGGAGGGGCGGCACCCAGCATGGGGGATGGTGGTGGACTGTGGAGGGCACTGAGCAGGGCTGAGAGGTTCCTGTAATTGTAGCAAGCCCACCTTCTGCGTCTCCTCTGCACCCTCCTTCCTCTGTGGTGCTCTTTAAAGCCTCAATCCAGCAAACACCACCCCCGCACCACCCCCACCCCCGCCTTCTACCTCCCTCTTGTCCAGGCCCCACCCTAAGCTTTCATCTGTTCAACAAAGACCTCTGGGGTCTCTGGCCAGTTCAGACTTCTCGGAGCATCACCCTCCAAATCCAACCCTGCATTCACTCTAGGATGTCTCCGAGGCACCTGGGCACATTGACATAGTCTGATTTCACCCCAACCTGGTTCCAACCAGAATCCCCATCTCTGGGAATGAGCCACCTTTGGTCTGAAGGTCCGAACCCAGTAGCTGCCCCCTACCTCCCCCACACACTCCACCAGCCTGTGGAGGACCCACAAGATGCAGCCCACAGCTGCAGTACCTCCACCCAGACCCGAGTGGCCCCCAGCTCACATGCCAAGGCCTGTGACCCCCATGAGAGGTCCCCCTTGCACCCTCCATCTGCACAGGGCCAGGAGTGAGTGGGCCACAGGCACCTCTCCAAAGGAAGCTCTGGTACCTGCCCAAAGTCCCTGAGCCCATTTCCTGCCTCTGCCAATAGAGGATGACCGCACTGCTGGAGTGAGCCCCCACCCTTGAGCCAACGCCAAGGGGAAGCTGTTTGCAGAGGTATGTCCTGAGCATATGTCCTAAGGATGTCCGTGCAGGGCCGGCAGCCCCCTGGGTTGGACAGAGGTAGAGGCAGAGGCGGGAAGACAAAGGCAGCAAGAGGAGTTTGAGACCCTGGGCTCTAAGGATGTGCCCACCAGCTGTCAAGGGAGGAGGAGGGAGGTACTTCGCCTGCTGCTTCCTTAGCTAGATTTGGCACTCTGCCGCCCTCGACCCACCCCCACCCCCAGCTGTGGCACAGAGACCCCAGTTTGTACGCTCCCCAGGCCCTTAATGTCAGCAGGTCTGGTCCTTCCTGATGCCTCTGGATGGTGGTGCCTGATTCTGGGCAAGGACAGTCTCTCCCATGTGCTCATGACAGACCGTGCTGGCCTCTGCACGTGCTGGTCCATTCTTTGGACATAGGAATGTTCTCGAAGCAGACCTAACCACCTTCTGCATCTCCTCTGCACCCTCCTTCCTCTGTTTTTAGACTGGGAAGGGCTTCTTCTTCCTCAGGGGTCTCTGCTGCTCTCCGTCCTCCAGCCACCCCCCACCCCACTGCTGCCTCCCGCTCCCTCCCGCTCCCTCCGGCTCCCTCACTAGGCCCAACAGGACATTTGCACAGGCTGTCCGGTCTGCTTCAGACCTCTCTCCCCTCTGCTCGCTCGGAGTGATGCCTGGTTTTCTCCCACTCAGCCAGTCCCTGGTGTCTCTGAACCCCAGCCTTCATCACGCTCCTGTTATCATGTCACAAGCGTGTGGCTCGCTGTGTCACTGCGTTTACTGGAGGATGGACTGATTAATCCCTGGGTCCTCCACCGAGGTTCCCGGGGGTGGGGGCAGCCTCTTCTCCCTACTGACAGAAGCACATGGACACTGTGCCCCTGCCTGGCCCCTGCTAGTCCCCTGGCCCTCTCTGCCCCCAGGTCCAGCCACCTGGCCTTCTTTCTGTTCTTCAGTAACCTAGCGCCTTCTTCCCAGACCTTCTGCACTGTGTCCCCTCTTCCTGGGTCCCTAAGCTTTGATCTGCCTCCCCTCTGGCTTCCCCTCTTCCTGTTTCCGGGGCCACTTTATGACAGAGGCCTTCCCAGGTGACCTCATTAAACAGATGCCACTCTTCCTGGGAGCCACGCAGTGTTCAGGGTTGGTACCTCTTTGCTGCCACCCTAAAGCCCTTGGCACCTGGGCTTCTCCTCCTGGTCCCTCCAGGGCAGGCAGTCCTGCATGGGTCACCTCCAGAGCATCCCCTAGTGCCTGGAGACACTGCCGGTGCTCCGAAAACCAGAGGTCCCCACACCTGTGCTGTATGCTGCACCCCTCGTGTCCCAACATCTTGTTATAGCATTCCTCAGCCAAAAGAAGTGCCCACGGGCACATTTGCATAGGCTGGTCATCAAGTTGTTACGACCAAACAATTTTTTAAAGACTTATGAGAGGGCTGGGGTCTGTCTCAGTGGTAGAGCACTTTCCTGGCATGTCTGAGGCCCCCGGTTCCATCCCCAGCACTGCAAAAAAAAAAGTGTGGGGGAAATAGTCTGCATAGTCTCGCAATTCCTCCTCAAAAAAAAATCAAACATAGAATTATGGTATGATCCAGCAATTCTGCTCTTAGGTATATGACCAAAATAACAGAAAACAGCTATTCAAATAATAACCAAGTTCACAGGAGCCTCTTCCACCATAGCAGGCAGCGGGACCGCCGGGTTTCCCTGATGGACATGTGGCCCCACAGGCCGGGGTCTGCCATCAGTCACTCCAGCAGCGGGGAGCTCTGACACGGCCAAGGGGCAGACCTGGAAAAAACTGGAAAGTCACAGAAGTCGGTGCCAGAGAGCACGCATCATGTGACCCTTTACATGAACTATCCAGAACGGTGAGTCTCGGAGACAGAGAGCCTGCTGGGGGCTGTCCAGGGGCCCGTGGGCAGGGAGTGGGGTGACTTCTTAATGGGTGTGGGGTTCCCTTTTATGTTGAAGACAATGTTTTGGGAGTAGTGAATACACTCAGCGAATTGTACATTTTAATTTTTTTTTAAAAACAGAATCTGATATATATATATATATATATATATATATATATATATATATATATATGAGGATCGAACCCAGGTCCCGCCTGTGCTAGGTAAGTGTTCTACCGCTGAGCTACAATCCCAGCCCGAATTGTACATTTTTAAATGGTTGATTTTATAGTAAGTGAACCTCCCCTCAATTAAAAAGATTCTATCTCTATAACTTAGTAGCTTTAAAAAACGGCACGCATAAGCTAAAGGAAAACTATCACACTCAAATACTTATGGGATGGTTTACATGTTTGGCACTGCACAATTTTCTCAATTGTGGGAATCACTCTGCAGCCTCTGTGCTGGCTTCCCACCCCACACTGGTGGCTCACTGACTGGGTTTTATCACAGCAATCTCCAGAAATCCAACTTTGCAAAGATATGATATCATCAAAAGGAATGTAGTGCAATCTAATGTTGAAAGTGTGAGCTCCCTCAAGCCCGCGGTTCACATGGTTTTAGACAGACTTCAAGGTTCATGCCAAAATTTAAAATATCCTGCTGTCCTCACCTGAGTTCTTGGTGCTGCACGAGTACCGAGTACCGAGTACCAAGTACCAAGTACCACAGCCAGGTCTGGGAGCTGTGATCACAGTTCATGCTGAGTTAATTAACTGAGTCAATACTTCATGCCCTTAAAACACCCCCACGTTCTCCCTCCCTGCTCGTGGCAAAGAAGCTTGCAAATAGCAGGCCAATTAGTCCCCAAAATACCCACTGGGGGGACCATTACATACTCTGGAGAATCGTTCCCACTGACACCTTCTCTCAGCAGAGGAGGGCTGGACTCAGACACATGCCACCTGCCCTTGGCACCACAAGGCACTTAGCAAACCGTGACCTGCCCGTGTCTCTCTGAAGACAAAAAGGCCAAGTCCAGGCCTGGTCCTTGAAGATGTCGCAGAGCTGCTGGGCGGAAAACCCCGAGACCTCGCTGGAAACCTGAGGCTCCTGCCCGGGGCATTAGGATGCCAAGGTCTGCTGGGGGGAAGGAGACCCTGGGGAGAAGGGGAGCAGGAGAATTCTCAGCAGTGACTCCAGGAAAGGACTCTGAGTTTAGGGAGGGAGTGGAGGGGGGCAGGGAACAGAGCTTCCCCCCCCCCCCCCCCCCCGCCCCCAGGCCTCGTCCTCCTGAGAAGCCTAGGACTTCCCCAGGCTGGGCCTCCACCCTGTGCCCCAGCCAGATGAGGCTGTCACTCTGGGTCGGAATCTCTGTGGCCACGGGGTGAGGCCCAGAGCAGGGTCCAGGAACCCAGCCAAGCAGTGCCTATGGGCAGCTGGACGCCCACTCCAGGAGGTTCCCGAGGCCCTGCTGGCCACAAAGAGTAGGTCCGCAGAGCCCAGCCACGCAGGGGCCAGGGAACCAGAAAGTGACCTGCAGCCCCTGGTTTATTTCCAGTAGATGTGGAAAGGCGGCCTGACCAGGTTAAGTGCCCGCTGGGGACAGTGGTCCAGGCCCTGTCAGGGCGCGCAGCAGCTCTGAGGATGATCCAGGCACACTGAGAAGAGAGAGGAACACAGCCGCAGCTCCGGGGCCCAGAGCACAGAGTGAGCACACGGGCAGTGCTGGACGGCTCAGCCTTGGCTCACTCCGGGGCCCATGGAGAAGGTGCTCACACAGGGCAGAGCTTGATCCCTCTGTCTCTCCCGACAGCTTGGGGGAGCATCAACATTCGGCAAGGGACTGCTTGAGGCGGCAGGGGGCCTGCGGGTCTTGGCTGGGGTTTGCAGGTTCTTGACAGTTCTGCAGGGATCAGAGGAAAGAGGACAATGACCATCTCAGTGGGCAGCCAAAAAGTGGGAGACACCTGTGTCCCCAAGTGGTTGGGGGAACTTAGGGCTGGGTGGCCAAGGGGAGCTGGCAAGACCCCGTTATGGGTCAAATGGTGTTCCCCAAAAGAGCTAAAATCCTAACCCCCAGCTCCTCAGGTCACCCTTACTGGAAACAGGTATGCGAAGGTGACGGACTTCAGATGAGGCCACACTGGAGTCCGTGGCCCCCACCCGCTGCAGCTGGTGCCCTGATCAGAGGGCAGAAGATGCCCAACTCAGGGAGAGGGCATCTGAACTGCCTGAGGTGTTGCTTCAAGTTGGGTCCTTGTCCCCAGTGCCAACCCAATCAAGAGGACACGGGTTTAAGGAAAAGGAAGAAGAAGGTCTATTGTTTTGCTGGCAAAGGAGAAACCAGGGAGACTCCTATCCCAGAGGCTATGAATCTGCCCCTCAGCAGGAGCAGGGGGCTGTTAAAGAGCTGACTCAAAGGCTGCGTTCCACGTGCTCTCCGTGCTCTCCGTTGGAGGGTGATTCACTTGTTCACTTGGAGATAGTCATTTCTGAGATCTTCTGGGCCATCCCCCAAATCTGGATTACTTTGTTCCTTTGGAGGGGGTGGGCTCGGGGACAGATAACCCTGCCTAGGTGGGAAGAAGGGTGACCTGGTTAACCCTGAGATGAGGGAGGGGGAGATTAGGGAGGAGCAGGGAGAGAAAGAAACAGGTCCATTTAGAAACCAGTCGCAGTGGCAGAGCAGCAAGGGCCAAGTCGGAGCATGAAGTGGACCCTGTCTCAAAACTGACTCACATGGTAACAGAGGTCGTGGAGACCCGGGAGCTGCCCTGCAGAACAAAGGCACAGAGGTCTGACCTCAGAGGATGCTGCTGTTTTAGTGTGAAGACCAGCCGTGGAACCCTGGAGAGGCCACCTGGGGAGGAAGCTGCCGTCCACTGCCCCCTCCCCGCGTGGGAACCACTTTACTCAGTCTGGTGATCTGGGTGTTACTGTCAAAGACACACCCAGCGTTGTGCTTGACTAAGCGCCCTGTGGCCCAGCCGGGTGACACACGGGTTACCCACAGCCCCCGCAAGCTGACTGACCCGCTGCAGTGATCTCCTTGTCCACTCACCGCCCCTGGAGGTCGGGGTTGCCCCCTTTGCTCCTGGAATAACATTGCTGGACTTGACCAGGGTCTGGGGTGAAGGCCTTGGCTCAGGTCTTGTGTTTGGACACAGGGAAGGTCCTGGTCCCTTGGAACAGCTCTCCACCACCAACGCGCCTTCTTAACACCACAAACCTCGGCTCAACAACAGAAATGCGCTCTCCCACAGCGCTGCCCAGGAAGTCCCAAGTCTGCAGGGTCCTATGCCCTCAGAGACTTGCCCTCAGAGACTTGTCGGGGATTCTCCTTGCCCCTCCCAGCTTCCAGGGCTTCCCAGAATCTCTGGCTACACGTCCTTCTGTAACAGGGTCCACTTTAGGCTTGGACTTGGCCCTTGCTGCTCAGCCACTGCAACTGGTTTTTAAAATGAACTGTTTCTTTCTCCTCCTCTCTCCCTGCTCCTCCCTAATCTCCCCCTTCTAATCTCAGGGGAAACAGTGTCACCTTTCCTCCCCATCCTAGGCAGGGTTAGCTGTCCCTGAGCCCACACCCTCCATAGGAACAAAGTAATCCAGACTTTGGGGATGGCACAGAAGACCTCGGAAATGATCATCTCCACGGAAATATTTAGTAAAAGGCAAGAGATTTACACGATCTGAAGAGAAACCAGAGTATTTCAGTTGGTAGAGTGCTCGCCTCGCACACACAAGGCCCTGGGTTCCATCCCCAGCAACACACACACACACACACACACACACACACACACACGAATATCTCCCAAATTAACAAGTGAATCACACTCCAACAGAGAGGCATGGAAAGCAGCCTTTGAATCACCTCTTTAACAGCCCCCTGCTCCTGCTGAGGGGCAGAATCCCAGCCCTGGGTCAGGAGTCCAGGGAGGAGCTGGACAGAGGGGAGAAAGAACCGGGCCCGTCTGAAAGAAGAACTTGGCAGCAAAGCAAAACACTTCTTTTCCCTGTTTCTCAAAACCATGTCCTCAGGATTGGCATCAGGAACAAGGACCGACCGAGCTTTTGGCAATGGTTTTATAAACATTAGTGACCTAGGATGGTCCCACTTAGTTTTTCTTTTTTTCTGGGGGCGGGGGTACCAGGCATTGAACTCAGGGCACTCGACCACTGAGCCCCATCCCCAGCCCTATTTTGTGTTTTATTTAGAGACAGGGTCTCAATGAGTTACTTAGCACCTACCATTGCTGAGGCTGGCTTTGAACTTGGGATCCTCCTGCCTCAGCCTCCAGTGGGAAGGTAAACTGTGTACCATCTGTTGTTCCCTTCTCAGGGTTCAATAAAGTCCACAGGGTATGCAATGCTTTATTAGAAACAGGCTCTGGGTCACGTGATGGTGGCCAGCTGTAGTCAGAAAAGTGTTCTGAGCGCATTGAAGGCAGGCAAGGCCAAGCCAGGTGGCCAGTGGGGGCACCCCACTGCCAGTCCAGTGTGCTTCCTGCACACACATAGACAGGGCTAGGTGCAGGCACAGGTGCTGCGTTTCTCTGAAGTCTCCCTCTTTCGCTTAGACCAATCTGGACCGGCAACACTGCCAGACTCCCAGTTTTGCAGACTGTCTTGTGTTTTTGAATTTTCTTTCATTTTTATAAAATTTATAAAAGCCATTTCTCAGCCACAGTGATATCGCCTGCTGCTCCCGTGCAGGTGAACAGGGAGACTGCTGGCCCGGTCAGGTCCCTGACAAAAAGAGGCAGAAAATGGCAAGATTAACGCTGCCTCTGAGGCCCAAGTGGCTGCGACACACCTGCTCCTTCCTAGGACAGGGTGCAGGCAAGGGTCGAGGCTGGCTGCCCTGGACTGCTGGAGCGTGGATGGCCAGCTCCTCCTGCTTCCTGCCTCCAGGGCTGCTCCAGGGGCGCCCAGCTCCAGAGGCCCAGGGCAGCCTCCCCCTCCCGCCGCGGTGAGTCACGCCAGGCTGACTCCAGCAGGCCCGCTGCTGTGCCAGCAGGGTCTCTCTATCGCGCTCCAGATCAGACACCGACAGCCAAGCTTTTCTCCTTCAGCCGCCGGTTTGGAAAAGAGACTCCTAGGGTTCTGCTTCTCACACACACCCGCGCCCCTCGGCCAAGTCCTCCGGGAGCTCTTCCCCAGGTGTCACCTGCCACCTGTGGGCCACAACGGGAACTGCAGCCCAGGACTGACCCAATGAAGCACCAAGCCCAACACAGGTGCAGGGCCAGCACTGCTGAAGGCACAGGGGACAGGGGACAGGCGTCTGCCCCGCTGGGTCTTCGTCTATGCCTGGTGGAGCAGCAGGCAGGCTATGCGCCGGGGGTGCCTGACACTCCCGTCTCCCGGCCTGTGCTCTCCCTCTGTAGGGCAAGGAAAGAGATCTCCGGGGAAGCTGGCTTCTCCAAGTCTGCGGGGCAGCATGGCCTTCCCTGAGCGAGGCCACGGGCCTCTGGTGTGATCCTCCTTCAGGCCCTCAGAGATGCCTGGAAATGCTTCCTCAGCCACGAACCCCCCAGGGAATCGTCCCGTCAGACAGTTTTTATCTCTAGAATTCTAGAGATACAGGAAGCTAAGTAGAGACGGGGAAGTTTGCCTCCCGCGTCTCTGACTTCTGGAACATACAAGATGCAATGGTGAGGGTGGGGGTTGGGGCTCAGTGGCAGAGTGCTTGCCTAGCATGTGTGAGGCACTGGGTTCGATCCCCGGCACCACATAGAAATAAAATCAAATAAAGGTATCGTGTCCATCTACAACTAAAAAAAGATTTTAAAAAAAGATGCAATGATGATAGCTTTTAAATCTCTCCCTTTGGTAGTTCTAGCCTCTCTGCCAGCTCTGGGTTAGTTTCTGCCCAGGGCCCAGGGCTGCATGGCTCCGTGCTGACTACCACCACCGCCCACAGTGTCCTCCACAGGCCGGGACTCAGCAGACAGGAGTTGTTAGGAATCTCTGAGAAATTCCTGTTTCATTTACCCTCTGATCTGTTGTCTCTGTTTGTGTTCTTCTTTCCAATCAACTTTATTCTTTGTTTATTCCATCGAAATTTCTTTTTTCTGTACTATTGGGGGCTGAACTCAGGGCCACTCTATCACTGAGCTGATCCCCACTCCCTTTTGTTTTTGAGACAGGGTCTCACTGAGCTGCTGAGGCTGGCCTTGAACTTGCGATCCTCCTGCCTCAGCCTCCCAAGTCACTGGGATGACAGGTGTGTGCCACCACCTCTGGCAGTTTAGGGAATTGTTTTAAAGCCACAGCAGTTCTCAGTCTTCTGTCTGTTTTGTGATTGTTCCATCGTTTTGTGATTGTTCCATCGTATAAAAGCCACATTCATACGCCCTACAACTAGCAACAGAGAATATCGTGCCGTACTGGCCTCTGTTACTTAGATTTTGCTTTTGAGAATTATCCATGAAGATACGCATGACTCAGGATGACATGGCGGGCCCTCGTGGGACACTGATTGTGCTGGAGGGTGTAGACTGTGAGGGCAAGAGCAGGCAGGTTGCTGAGAGTGGCTTTGAACTTGCAACCCTCCTGCCTCAGCGTCCAAAGTAGCTGGGATTATAGGAGTGTGCCACTGCACCCAGCCTTTGTACCAAACTTTAATGATAACTCTCTGAGCAGTTATCATTGCGATCACTGGAAATGATAATTCGTTGGAGTTCTTCTGAATTCCTTACAAGTTCCAATAAAATTACCCTACCCCCCAAAAGAATATTCATGGTTCTCAATATTCCCTTCCACTGCTACCTCACAAGCCTGCACACAACACACCCACGTGGTCTACCCACCCAACACCAGGTTTCCGGGGCCCTGGGAACAGCCTGGGCATGCACTCTCCAGGGCCCTCCTGCACCAGCTGCAAACTTCAGCGCCTGTGGCCGAGAGCCCACCCCTTCTGCCTGTGCTGCTTGGGTCCTGCAAAGACCTGGAGATGGAAGCACTCTGGGAAAGGAAGACGAAGGAAAAACAAATCCAAAGAGCGTCTCCGTTGGTTATCCTGTCGCACAAAGCACCTGTGAGAATGAGAACAAGTGGGCAAATGCCATGGAGTCGGGTTACAGACCCCAAGAGAAGAAAGGCACTTACATAAGGAGACCCGTTTCCGTTAATACATTATATAGTTTTTAAAAGCAAAAGATCTGAAACATCCTGAATCCCTGTCGAGGGGCATGGGTTGAATTATCAGTGCTCATTCCCAGGGTGGGGCACCATTCAGTTGTGCCAAACAGGAGGGGAACGATGTCTGCACACAGCTCTGGAGGGACTTGGAGACCTCTCTGAACAGAGCAGGAGGAATGGCACAGAATGTGTTAGCATGTACAGAGGACAGGCAGGAAACAGAAGTCCATCTGCCTGCCTGCCTGCCTGTCTATCATCTATCGCCGTCCATCCATCATCCATCTTTCATTATCTATGATCTATCTTCCATCTATCTTCTATCATCTATGTACACCATCCATCCATCATCCATCATCTGTCATCTCTCCATCTCTCTGTGTCTGCCTGTGTTTTAACAATAAGCGGGGAAGACGACACCATGGTACACTCTACAGGGTCATCCGGGGAGGCAGGGGGAAGGTCTGGGATGGAAGCACAACTTCTTTGAAGGTACCTTGATCTATAGATTCGAATTTGGAATCATGCATTTGTTATATCTTATAAAACAAAAAAGTAATTTCAAGAAAATAAGGTTAGGCAAAGAAACCAAATGTGTACCCTGGTGGTCTGACCAGCAGAGGGGCTGTTTCAGTTGAAACCGTGGGAATGTGAAAGTCTCTGCACTGGACAAAACACCAAGAGCAAGAAGAACAGGAAACGAGAAAGAAGGCTCAGGCCTCCCTGACGAGCGGGTGGCTCCTGGTGGGACTGTGTGTGCACTGAGGGAAAGGCACGTGTGGCCCCGGACACTGTTGTTACCTGGGTCACAGAACGTGGGGACCACATATGGGAGAAGGGCGATTCTGGAGCTCTGCTCGGATGAGCAGCACAGCCAGTGGGGAGCCCTGGTGCAGGGTGCTGAGGTAGGCCCCTGGCCCGCCTGGCCCGACACCCACAGGGTGCTCCCTGTTCCCTCTTTTGCTTCATGGAGGTGAACTTCATACAGACACAGCGAGCTGCCCGAGGAAGGAGAGGGCCGTCCTGAGAACAAAGGCAAACACCTCCTTCAGAAGGCACCACTCCCTCCCAGGCTGCTCCCTTCCCCACACTGGCCAGCCACCCATCCACGGCCATGAACAGGTTTTCGTGATTGCTGCAGCTATCACTGCTAGTCTTAGGGGCCAGCAAGACAGTGGCTTTTCTAGAACAGCATGCCATTCAAAGGGGACGAAGTTGAGGCTACGTAGCGTGAGCGAGCCCGG